CCCAGTTCCCTAAATTTCATCCATCCCACACGAACTCTAGCCGTAACTGCGCTCAAACATCCTCCATCCGCGTTCAGCTTATCCCCTAAGTAAACAAAGCTTTTCACTCTTTCAATACCACCACTCAACCCCGTCCTTGCGCCCGTCCTATTAATCACACCATGAACACATTTCTTACATTTGAACGTGCCTTCCAGCTTTTTCAGTGCCCCCCTCACACCACTACATCTCTTATGCACCCATTTCCGACATCTTATACACAATACCGAGTTAGCATTCACTCTCCTGTCACATACCCCACAGGGGTCTATTTTACTTATCATTCGCTCCCCACCTTTCCCACTCACCATTACCTTCGTCTTACCAATATTAACTTTTAACCCTTTCTTTTCAATAACACTTTTCCATCTGTCAAATTTTAACTGCAATTCTTCTATGCTATCAGCCATCAAGACTAAATCATCTGCATACATAATCTCAAATAACAACCCCTCCATTATGTTTCCACACACAACATCCATCACAATTGCAAACAGAAACGGTGATAACACTGATCCTTGATGCACTCCTACCTTAACACTAAAAGCGTCCGACATCCCCCTTCCAACCCTCACCTTTGTCTTTGCCCCTTCATACAGCTGCATCACAGCTTTAACAAGTCTCTCATTCACTCCTTTCTTCCTCAACGCCCATTCAATGACCTTCCTCGGTACTCGATCGAAAGCCTTTTCTAGATCCACAAAACACATGTACAATCTTCGTTTCTTCATTCTATAATTCTCCTGCAACATTCTCACCATGAACAACGCATCCACCGTTCCCCTACCAGGCATAAACCCACACTGCATTTCATTAACTGTCACCATATTTCTCAACCTCCTCTCAAGCATCCTCTCCACTACCTTCATTCCATGCTCTAGCAATTTCACACCCCTATATGACCCACAATCTCTCACATCTCCTTTGCCCTTATACAACGGCACCAACACACTGTGTCGCCAATCCTCAGGTATACCTTCATCATCAAACATACTGTTAGCAATTCTCATCATAACTTCAATTCGTAATTTTTCTGCATTCATTTTATTTATTTCTTGGAGTTGTATCGACACCACCATCGGTCACACACGTCGAGGTTGTACGATTGAACGGCAAGAAACATATCCCAAGTTGCCCGACCCAACAAAAAGAAGTTCTAATTCCTGTATTCCAGTTTGTTCATTGACATTATTTTTAACATTATTCTAAAGTTCAGTTAGTTCAATTCCTTTTCATTTACTTACGTCGATTAATAAAATTGTTATAGAATATTTTACGCGTTCGTGTGTTACTCAGTAAATCATATAATTCGAAAAAGCCCAGTGCCACACAGGACTGGTCGAACTCACGATAAAAATATACAAAAAATTATTGTCGGACCATAAAAAAATTCCCTGAGAAAGATAGAGGAAGAGATTACCTCACTTCACAAATTTCCGACAATATATATATATATATATATATATATATATATATATATATATATAATTATTATTTAATGCATTTGTATAGCGCCTATTAAATGAAATCTCACAGGCACTCTCAAAATCCACTAACAATAAATTAAAGAAATGATTGTCAAAAGTCAACAGTTTATCCACAATGTACATTAAACGAATATACAATGTATACTTAATAAACAATATATATAAACAATGCGGGTAAATAAAAAAAATTAAGTCAAATTAACAAATCATAAATTTAAAGTTTGCAAATAAAACATGACACTAGTTCCATATTATCGTTTCACATCAGAACATGTCCTGACATTGACATCGGCATTTCTGGTGCTGCCACTTTTGCTGTTGTTATTGAAAACCCAATTCCTAACCTGAACATAATCAGGCCAAGAACTTGATCTTTCAACTATTTCCGCATACTTCTCATCTACACACAGCCGGAATGACGTAGAAGGGTGGGTTTCATCAAGTTTTATTTTGTCATCTCTCCTCTTGAATACAGGGTAGCAAGACAAATTTTTAACATCAATTGACTCAAGGTGGTCAACAACAAAGGATGCACAAGTCTTTGAAACATTACCAATGTGATAAAATTTTTTTCCGATATACAACTTTACTAGCTGATATTTTATATTGCGTAGACCTATAAGGTTCAACAGTGGTCTTTGATATTGCATGACAACATGGACTTGTATTAGTTGATAGTAAAATGTTTCTTCTTTTCTTGTGTCTGACTGTTATAAAGTTTCCATCATCATTGTTACCTTCTTCAGCATGTCAGACAAATTTTTAGCGACTGATGTCTCAGCATCTGAATCTCCATCAGCGCATACATCACTGCACACGATACTGTTCACCTTTTTTTGGACATCACTCAGTATATTGCCATACTCTTCAAGAAATTCCAGAACGGCCGGACTATTTTGAATAACACTTTTTTGCAACCTCACCTGTTCAGCTGACAATTTCTCGAATCTATTGTCACAATTAGTAACTTTCCACAAGTCGTCAGCGAGAAAACAGGGAAATTTGTCTTCGACTTTAGTTTCAAAATATATATATATATATATATATATAATAACACGTGGAGCTTATGGAAATATTGTAAAATTTGGACGTTGATGGAAAAGACACGAGAGCAAGAGTGTTATCAAAATCCTCTATTGAAGCCAAAGAGCAGTCATGAAAGTTGGTAAAAAAAAAGGACTAGTTTCGTCAAAATAAAGAAACGTGTTAGGCAAGGTTGTGTATTATCTCCAGACCTGTAGAATTTCTATAGTGAGATCATCATGAGAAAAATAGATCTACCTAGAGTAGCTATCCGTTGGAGGCGTAGATATAAACAATGTATTAACAAAATTAAAACTGTTAGAGTGTTACTTTTTTTTGTGCTCATCTACGGCTCTGAGTCCTGGACAATTTAAAAAAAAATGTATAAAGGAAGAATGCTGCTGAGATTTGGTTGTTGAGAAGAGTTATGAAATGCCTCCAATGACGATGTGTTAAAACAGTCCGGTTATGAAAAATGGAAATTACTACAAATAATCCGATTTGGTTACATCATGCGGAAAAAAGAAAAATCTGACAGCTACTGGAAAGATTGCAGGGAGAAGAGATTGTTGCGGTTGCGCTAGCGTATGATTGCGCTGATGTAAGAAAACACCAAACCAGGAAGAGCAGTGCGCAGGAGTGAAAAGAAATGAATTGTATATTCGTTTGGACACGTGTTTCGTCCCTACCGGGAACTTATCAGCAGCTCGAATACTTATAAGAATCACATCACAGTTTTTTCTTATATAGCCCCACAAATTACTTCGTTAATGTGGTGTTTTTATTTATTTTGAGGATTGTCAGTTTTAATCGTTAGGATTTTCGATCCGGTAAGATCGTGGTAAACAACGAATTACATTCGTGAAGTCCTTGTGTCACTTGTATCACCACATTTCAGCTGGTAGAAAGTGTTAAAGATCGGATTTTGTGGATGTCGATGGTCGCCAATATCCTGATTGATAAGGCACGAGAAGGTTATGTACATAAATATATTTAAGTGTAAAACCCTTTGTTGATATAATAATTATTATATTACAATATAGAAATATATGTAAATTTGTTATTTTATTCTAATGTGATGCAAATATATGTAAATAAAAAAAAAAAATTCTATATATATATGATGCAATCATGTCCTGGTTATGACATTAAACTGACCCTCACTGCCTTGTGAGTGATGTTGCATCATCAAAGGCTAGGCCCACCGCTTATAACTGTGGTTGCGTAAGGAAGGGCGTCCTGCGTAAAAATTAGCCAAATAAATTACTTATGATGACAGAAGTGACAATGGTTTCATCATAGGTAGCCAAACGGCAACCCCCGATCTCGGGAAAAATGTCGTCTAAACGTGTGTTGTTGTTGTTGTTGTATATATATGATGTAATCAAAATATATGGATGTAAATAAAATGTATGTGTTCTTGACCAAACAAAGAACTAGTTTCATTTTTGATTATATCAAAAAAAAGTTATCCTACCATTTTGCTCACTTATAATATTTATTTAATTTTTTTTTTACATAAACTGGCCAGTATTTTCAAAAGATTAATAATATATGTAAATGAATTTTTTAATGTTTTGGCTTTAACAATTTTCTAGTTTACTGCTGCCACCTATCGATAATGATTGTACGTCCCTTTCAGCTGCAGTTTGTTGCCATTTTGCGAGTTATCTGTGTTTTGTGTCGTTTGACATTTTTGTTCTGTGTTTGTCTTTTAAGGTTATTTAAATGTTATTTAACGGTTTTTCTACATTTTAACTCATAGTTGCTGGTGATGCATAATTTAATGCACGTAGGTTTCGGGTTGCATACATGCAAAATGTGTTCTTAGCATTTTAGTAGATTTACAACAATATTTTACTCATCAGCCTCCGAAATGTCAAAAGTCAATAATACATTTTAGTTTGAGTTAGTGGCGGTCATGATTATTTTCATCTATATGTTTATACAAAGTTTTATCAGGGGTGCATTAAGATTTTTATTTTTCCCTACGACTGCACGTATGGCACAATGTCTTTCTGTTCAAGGATAAATATTTAGTTTAGGTTGCGTTGCGTATGTTATATTAAAAATTAAATGCTACCCGTTTGTCGCCTTACAGTTCTTATTCATTGTTACTGTGATGCGGTTAGCTATTGTTAATTTGATTGGATATTATAAATCTTATGACATAAAACAAGTTAGTTGAGTAAATTTGTAAATATCAATATGAAGAAGTTAATTAACGGCCTTGAACTATGCTGCCAATGAGTAGTTCTGTTGTATTTTATCCTGAGCAAACACCACATATTTCCAGCTTTATGATTATTTATTAAGATTAATAAATTTTTTAATTAAAATTTAATAACTTTCTGTAGACTTAATAGTCCTTAAATATAATTTGGCTAGAAATGCTGGTTTTTGATTTTTAGTTCAGTATTAAAATTTAAAATGCTTTTATAATCAGGTACGATGAACTCACAGTCACCTCTAACAGAACCAGATGCAGACACAATTAAAATGTTTGTAGGGCAAATACCTAGGTATATGGATGAAAATGACCTGCATAAAATATTTGATGAGTTTGGGCCAGTTCATCAACTTAACATTTTGCGTGATAAACCAACAGGACAAAGCAAAGGTTTTTTGAAATTTCAAACTATCATTTTTCATGTTTAATTGCTGTCACCCGTTATCAGTTTTTCAAGATCTTTTAACACATTTGCAATAACATTGTTTATCTCTATTTTTGTACAAGATTACTTTTTATACTGACAGGTTGTTGTTTTGTAACGTTTTATACAAGAAGAGCAGCTTTGGAAGCTCAGAATGTTTTGCATAATGTCAAAACTTTGCCTGGAGTATGTAACTCTTCCACTCTTTTATCAAAATTTTTAATTTTCTAGTGACTTGTTTTTATTAAGACATGAAGTTAAAGGTCATATAAAAATATTTCCTGGTTTTTATTTTAGTAAGTTGTTATCATTCAAACAGACGATTAAATGAGTAATCAAGTGTCAGCAGGAACTGAAGCAAATTAATTCAATTGTTTATGTTTGAACATAATGACAGGATAGAAAATGAATATGTTGCAACTGTTAAGAAGAACTAACTGTGTCAATCAAATGTTGAGTCTAAAAAATAATTGGTAAAAAAAACTAAAAACTAAAATATTTTAGCATTTTTACTGCTGAGAGTTAATTAATAATATCAATTAACTCATAAAATAAAATTGCAATTAGAGAATGTGAAATTTTCAAGGTTCATTAATATTAGTTTTATAACCTTATGGTGAAAATTTGAATAAATTCTGATGTTCAGATTAAAAATTTTTTCAAGTTAAAGTCTTTATAAAACTGTTGAGAACAGGTTTTGTGAATAAAAATTCAAATAATCATCTAGGAAATGTGAAATTTCCAGTTATTGTTATTGTTATTATTATTATTGATTAACTCTATTGGCATTTTTCAGAGGATTCAATGTTGTTGGAAAATTGTTCCATGTTTTAGCAGAGCAACCTGCAGTTTCATTTAATGAGTATATGTGCAAATGTAAATAAATTCTAAAGTTCTGAAGCGATCACATGGCAACCTGTAATCAGACGTAGGACAGCATTCTGGGAGCATTGAAGACGTGAGAAACTTGAGTCTGATGTCAGTGATGCCAAGCAGGACAGGCATACTCGATTGTTGAACGACCAATGGTTTTGTAGGTCTGTAAAAGAGTTTCCTTGTCCTGGTCATAGGTTGTACCACTTAGTGCCTTTAAAATATTATTTCTTATTGAGGCCTTGGATGCTGTTTCTTTATGGTGTTGTGAGAAGGACAGCATCGTGTCTAACGTGAGGCCTAATATTTTTGGATTATGTTCGAGTGGTAATGAATTGTTATTTATTTTTATTGCTGGATGATGGTGATACTGTGAAGTGTGTGTGGTGAAGAGGGTGACTGGACTTGGAGGTGGAAATCTCCAAGTTTCTGCTGTTGAAGAAGTCGTAAACCTTCGGAAGGAAACAATTGAGCCGAAGTGTTAAATCATCTGCATTCGGACCTGTAGTATAGATTGAAAAATCGTCTGCATAAGAGATAACTTTGACGTCTGTAGGAGGGTTTAGTATTTTGGAGACGTAGTAGTTAAACAGAGTTGGTGACAATACAGAACCTTGAGGCACTCCTGAGCGGATGGTGCGTTGTTTTGAAAATTGTCGACGGAACTCTGTTGATGCAGATAGTTTGACAACCAGCGGACTATTGACCGTGGAAGCGATGCTGACATGAGGTCGGAGATTAGGATGCGATAGTTAACGGTATCGAAGGCCTTTGTGAGGTCCAATGCTGTTAAGATTTTTCGGTGAGCTGGTCTCTTTTGATTTAGGCCGTTTGCGATATCGGTGACCATCGTGGTGAGAGCTGTTGTAGAATGAAGTGGGCGAAAACCATGCTGATGGCTAGCTAAGGTTAGGTGATTTGAGATGATCGGCAGAAGGCATTTTTCAAATACTTTAACTGCCGGACAAAGAGATATAGGACGGTATGATTTCGCGTCTTTAACTGGTTTGCCGGGTTTTAGTAAGGGAATGATTTTTGATTTCTTGTAAATTTCAGGAATCCTACAGGTTCGTAGGGATTCGTTAAAAATATTTGTTAGGAAGGAAATTCCCTTTGGGTTGAGGTGTTTTAGGTGAATACTGCCTTCCCGCGGTGGAGCCGATTGCACCGTCAAATCAGTCGATCCAACAAACAGTTGCAACAAACCCTCCCCACCTGGATGCTCTAAGTGACTGAATTTTTAGTTAAACAAACCGTTTTCAGTTGTTATTACCATTACAATTGAGAATTTTTTTCAGCATAAATTGAACTTCAGGATTTATTTTCACCATATATTCATAGAACTTTTGAAATTTTCACATTAACTAGATGGTTATTTTATGAGTTACTTGATATTTACTGATCAATGTTAAAGTTCTTGGCTGTGAAAATCCTTGGCTAACTTCCCACTCTTGAAAATTTGATGGATTTTAGAAATAGTTAGGAAGTCGTAAGTCAAGTAAAAAATGTATCTTTAGAAGTCAACAATACTAAAAACATTGTGGATGAAGATCAAGAAAAAGGACGGCAGAGGAACTACGTTGCCATTTACAGGATTCCAGAAAATAATGATTTCAAGGTCTCAAACAAAAATGATTTACTTAATATATTAAAAGATATATTCGCAAATAAAATCTGATGAAAACAACTTGTCGCCATCTGTTTCTGTTTTTTGCAATCTTTCCTAGTGTGTGATTTTATTTCTTATTCTTCCATTCTAATGGCAGACTTTAATTATCATATTGATTGGAAAACAAGTATAAGAGAAAAAATATGTCTTAATTTCATCAATGGATTACTTACTACAAACAGTAAACAATATTCTCGATTCAATTATTATTTTTATTATTATCATCATCATCATTAATTCTCCCTCAATTAATTCTCTGAGGTGTTAACAACATACACACAGTGCAGGTTAATGTGTATGATAGGCGGGGATTTTGTTGCATTCGAATCCACTCACTGCATAAGCAGGGCCAAGTGCTTTAACCATTGCACTATTTCTTTGCCCACACCCACTGACTTTCTTCGAAAGTGTTAATTCAGGGAACATTTATCCACTAGCGACCATCAAACAAGCAGGACCAAGTGCTTTAACCATTACACTATCTCTTTGCCCACGCCAACTGACTTTTTTAGAAAGGGTTAAAGTCAGGAAACATTTATCCACTAGAGATTATCTAATAATACGGTTCAAAACAAATTTGAACAGAACAAAAAAAGAGAAGTCAAGAGACAAAAATACAATTTTTTTCAGCAGGCTATTACAAAGTGTGGTAAAAAATTAAAACTTGTTCATTTACTTATTCAAACTCAGTTCTGAACATTTTTTGGAGGATAATAAACACTGAATATTTTTTTAGGATAAATTTTTTTTGGAGAATAAACTTTTCTCAGATGAAAAACATTTCTTGGAAGATAAAAAAGAGCTAAACACAAAACTTTTAAAAATTTAGATTTTTCAAAGAGCATTTGATATTACAAATCAAAGATAATAAATCACAAGCCTAACAACTACTTGAAAACTATCTCTGTATCGTAGTCCAGGAAGTTCAGACTTAAATAATGATTCTTTAATGCAGCTGCTGGATGAATTTTTGGAGCTTCCTGGTTTACATATCTTCCTTGGAGATTTGAATTTTCCAGAGATTGATTGGAACATTTTTTGCTCAGGTGGACTCCCATCAAGGATTGATAACAGGTTTGTGGATTTTCTTAATGATCATTATCTGATGCAACACGTCAATGAACCCACAAGAGCTCGCAGTTCGCAGCAGCCTCATATTCTAGATCTGGTGGTTTCTGATATTGACATCGTCAGGAATATTATTTACATGGCTCCTCTGGGTAGCAGTGATCATAACACTCTCTCTATTGAACTGTTTATATCAGGCAGGAAGACAATTACAGTTAATAAAAAATTCTGTTATGATATTGGTGATTATGCCAAAATGAGATATGATCTTGACAATGCTGTGCATGATCTGTTAAATTCCTGTTCAGAGTCTTCTGTGGAACAGCTATGGATTGCTTTGAAAGAACTGCTTTTGAAACTAACTAAAAAATATGTTCCTTTGAGAAAAACAGGTAGGGGACGTACATTTAAAATGAATCCAGAGTTGCTTAGATTAATAAAATTGAAACATGTTTATTGGAAGCAAACCTACAAATATGGTATAAATTCGTTGGTTTTGTTCAGATCAACAAGAGATAAAGTGAGAAGGTTATCTAAACAGCTGCATATTCAAAGATTGGATGAGATTGCCAGAGATTTTAATACAAATCCAAAATTATTCTGGAAACGAGTAAACAGTGTTAGTCATATTAAGGATAAAGTTGGTTCCTTAATCTATGATGGCAGACATGTTTCTGATGATAAGGATAGGGCTGAGATTTTTTCGGAGTATTTTTCATCTGTGTTTGCTGATGATTTGCCGTTTACAGATGATGTTGAATTTAATATTCCTTGGATTTCAGATAATGGTATGTCGGAATTGATCATCGATAATAAAACGGTTCTTAAGAAACTCGGGGACATTAACCGAAATAAATCATCTGGCCCGGATGGAGTTCATCCTAGAATTTTGTATGAAACTAGGTTTGAATTGTCTGGAGTCTTGAGTGTGCTTTATAATTTATCCTTGGTGAATGGTGTTATTCCTAATGATTGGAGATCATCTTTTGTGGTACCTATACACAAAAAAGGAAATAAAAGTCTGCCTTCCAATTACCGGCCTATTGCATTGACTCCGATTTGTTGTAAGCTAATGGAGTCAATTATTGCGACCATTTAAAAGATTATTTTATAAAGAATAATTTATTCACAAGCCGACAATACGGGTTTTTGCCATTTCGATCAATCACACTGCAGCTTTTGAAATTTATAGATGAGATAACTGCTTCAGCGGAACTTGGTAAAAGCATAGATGTCATATATACTGATTTGGAGAAGGCCTTTGACACAATTTCTCATTCCAGATTATTGTTTAAATTACGGAAATATAAAGTCCATGATAACTTAGTAAGATGGATTGAAGGTTACCTCAATGAAAGATCATTCCGTGTTGGTGTAAATGGTCATATGTCTAGTGCTAAACCTATCACAAGTGGAGTTCCTCAGGGAGGAGTGCTCAGTCCTCTTTTGTTTGTGATCTATATCAACGACATATACTCAGTTTATAGCGATATTTTTTTATATGCCGATGATGCAAAGATATATGGTACGTTATCTGAACTGCCTGATGGTGCAGTGTTGCAAAGTTCCTTAAACAATATTATGTTATGGTTTCGGAAATGGAGTCTTAAAGTCAACGTTA